AGCAGCGCTGGGAATCAAAATCTGGCCCTGCAGCCGCTGCTGCTGTCACGTCCATTCCAGTCAGCGCGATATTAAATCATTTTTCTCATTGTTTTGTCTCGCCTAGAGGCGGGAGGCGACGAGGGAGAGCAGCGGGCCGGAGGCCGGAGGGGCCGCAGGAGGCGATTAGAGCCTCGGCAGCAGCAGACGAAGTCCGCAGCAGCAGATCGAAAATAGAGGGGCGTCCGGAGAGCCGGAGAGTTTGTTTCCTTCGTCGGACGCACGGAACTGGGGAGTGGATGATGGGGCAAGCCAAAAGAGAGCTTTGAAGTGGAGGACCAAGTCCAGCGCGTTTTTAGCAAGCACATACTTCAAACAGATCCTGAAAGAGATAAACTAGTCGAACACACATTTTAAAGTGTTTGACTGGATATTTGAATACTATACATAAAGTGTTTAGCACACTGTTGGAAATCGTGATTTGGCACATCGAAGTGTTCTTCAACTTCAGGGTTGGCGAGCTTTGAACACCTCTAAGTATTAAACACTTGCACCTGCACGCTAGTTGCCCACTTTACTTATCAGTGTATTACTGAGTTATTGTTGTTTTCTTTTCCACAGTGTGCGGCTGAGCTCACGCCGCCGGGTGGGCGGCGGACGGACGGTACTCTGAGGGGGGGGTTCTGTCCCCGACGTCTCTGTGTATTATTCACCCTCGGAGCGTCTGTCTCACCGCGCGTGCTGGGTCCCATCCCTGGCCGGACAATCTCGCACCCAACAAATGGCAAGACGGTCCTCCCTCCCTCCTGAGCCAACCCCCCGCCACACACTCGTGCAGTTGCCTCGCGCGCAGTGAATCTGTCACGCCCGGAGCAGCGCGAGTCCATCTCCATCTACTCCAGCAGCAGCAGCACCAGGATCCACTGGTGGCAGAAATAACACGCACAACACACAGCGCGGCCTTGGGGCTGAGCCGCGCGGCCTCCACGCCCACGCGCGCCCGCGTCCCCCAGGGCAGCAGGCGGCAGCTTCCTCATCCCCCCGGACAGACATTTCAAGAGTATCCGTCCGTCCGGCCCGACACTGCTCTGTGCC